AAACACCACAACAAATAACCTTGAAACATACCCGGTACAAATCAAGGGGGGTACCTTATACGGCGTTTTACGGTAGTCTTAAACGGACGTAATTGTTTTGATCGCGTGATGTTACACCAAATCAAGATTTTTTATTGGATAATTTGTTGTAGATCATCACGTGATAGAGAAAATTTATCATACATAGCAGTCGACAAATCATAAAACAGATGATAATCATTAAACATCCCAACCAATCAACGGGCATAATTTAATATTCGTTAGCTTCGAAATAAATTAACTCGCGTTGTAGATGAATAAAACTATTCACTCAGGTTAAATAAGTTATGATATAACTTACAATACATGAATTTTATTAAAAAGTTTGATAATAAGTTACACGCTCTTTATTTAAAACTTCATATAATTACAGAATTAACAAAACTATACTATCGTATATATAAACCGCTTCTATTGAATCAAACCTCTTTTAGAGAATATATATAACTTTTGAAAACAGTCTACAGAAGTTTATAAATGAATAAACAAGCTAATTATTTAAGTAATAAAGAAAAAAATAAACTGCAGCTTGATGCAACATGATGCAATGAAGAGACACTCTCTAGAAAGCTATTTTTTAAGTTTACTTAGAACAATATATACGATACTCCTACAAAAAATTAAACATTTGATAACAAGAGTTAACAGATGATTGATTATACAATGAGCTCCGAACGGAGCTCAAGGGTGGTAGGCCATGGCGTCTGACTCAACAGATGTTTCTCACCCCATTCACATCTCTGCACTATAGACTACTCGTGTAACATCAGTCCGGAAATTATCGGATTCGAATGTTTCCCATGAAATTCGCTAGCTCATCTTTTAAAAAATGACTGCAGCACATTATGAATGTTCTTTACATGGTCGAATTTCTGGCAATTTGAAGTCAAGGCTCTTTGATAGATTAGTTGGAATATGTGGTACACAACCAATATCAACCTTTGAACATGAAATTGGATTTGTACCCGCAAGTAAACATTTTTTTGATAATAAAGCTGGGTTGGTTTTGTTTAATTTTTGATTCTTTTTTTAATTTTATTCTTTCTCGTATCATACTTTATAACAGTTCAAACACCCGAAGGACCTTCACGCAATGATGATGTTCTATTAAGATTGAAATCACCGGTTAACGAAAAAGATCCAGATAAACGTCAATGGTATGTACGTATCCATTTATTGAATACCCGTATCTTTTTTTTTTAGTAAAAAGCTTTAATGTCATGCAAACTTCTTCATTACGCGTCTGATTCATTTGCAGGCAATTATGCCAACTTGGTCATCCAGAAACAAACAGAAGTTTTACTGTTAGACCAATCTTTTATTCAAAATTTCTTAATGGGGATGCACTTAAATTCATGAATGTTCTTGGATACAAGTAAGTTAGGGATAATATATTATACACTATTAGAAAATATTTTTCTACATCAATACTAATAATTTCGTAAATATTAAAATTTTAAAGATTCGCTTTTGAATTTGTTAAAAAAGGGGATGTGTTCATATATCGAGATGCATTGAAAATTTCTATTACACAAATTTTCATCGTAAGTAACTATCTTTATGTTAAGAAAAAAATTTTCAAATATAAATTCTTATTTATTTTATTTTTTTCTTAAAGTTAGAAAAACGACATGATATAACTTCTATAAAACCATTTGATAATAAAGATAATTTTATTGTCGAAGTATTATCAAGTCTAACCACCAAAGATGGTGTTGAAAACACGTGTAATATTCTCAAAGAATTTGCAGGAATGGTGAAGGGGACTTTAGATTTACATCATGTTGAACATTTATGCTTACAAAATAAAATTAATTATTCATCATAAATTTATGTAGATAACATTTATAATATGTATAAATTAATAAAGTGTATATGTTGTAAGTGGGAACTGGATTTGGGATTTCTTGGAATTTTAGGGTTAGGATATAGAATAAACTCCACCCTGAAACGCTAATTTAACTAAGAAATTACAAATCCACTTAAATCCCGTTCCCACATACAACATATATATCGGGAAGCTACTAAATTAGTTATTATTAATAATTACATAATACCCTCTTAATACAGTGTCACCTTTTCATAGTAGCACTTCCCCCCGCCTACATTTTTACCATTCATTCCGATGAAATAAAGGAATTAGAATGAATGACTCATAATGCGTTTAAATTTAATTAATATAAATTTTGCGAAAAACCCTATCGTTTATTTGAAAACAAAAACATGTTTATCTACTTAGCCATTCGCTACACCAGTATAACAAAAACAAAAAATTTATCATAAACAACTATCTCAATTTATGATTCTGTGCTACACGTCCATTACCAAACAATAAGAAAATGATAATGATCCGCCGACAAAGACTCTTTATTGAATATATAACAAATACATATTTGTGTGTAAAAAATACTTTATCAAAGAGAGAACATTATTGACAAACTGCTTAACGATAGCGGCGAAGAGAAAGTGTATTGCGACGAACCCAACTAGCGTGGCGACCACCACCCTTTGTCTTGTTATAGCGATGACCTTTTCCTATACCACGATTCTTCTTACCAATACTGGTAAGACCACGCGCTTCACGATGTTTATGTTTAGAGGATGCAATCCAATTAATTTTTGGATCACGACGAATTGCCTTATGGTTAGGATCAACAAGAATTACTTCATAATATTTGTATGTGGAGTCCTGTAATGAAGATAACATTAAGAAAAAAGATACATCATATAAAAAAATATTATACAAAAAATATATATATGTACAAGCTATAATATATATAACAAATTAGTATAATAATAACCTGATTAATCCAGTATGAATTTAAAACACGTAAATTGCTACATCTACGCCCAATACGTTCTTCAGCAGTCGCCCTAAGAGAACGTTGATATTTGAGTTGGTTTACACCCTGATTAACAGGTTTACCGTAAGTTGCACCTTTAGGCACAGGGCGTTTACGTCCACCACGTCGTACACGGATACGATAGATAATGTATCCTTGCTTTGCCTTAATTATAAAACATAATAAAGATCAAAAAAGTAATAGTTAAATTAAGCAATTGCATAAAATGATTTATCTTAAAAAAAAAAAAAAAAAAAAAAAAAAAAAATATTACCTTGTATCCCAATCTACGGGCCTTATCAGGACGAGATGGGCGGGATGCCCGATGGACAACATTCAACTGTCTACATTATTTAATTTCCATTTTTGGCACAAGTAGGAAAAACGTACCATGTTCGGGATATGCATTTTAATAATTTGTAATTATATTTTGGTTCATTGGCAATGAAATACTTTTTATGTCTCACATTTTTTGCTATCCCGTTATCAAATCGAGAGACATAAAAATTTTTATTTCATGCCTAAATGTTTCACGCCAGTGTGATGAGTGTAGGATAGAGTAGGAAGGATAGACTACCTGTATTCCCAGCATCTTACACGATGTAAGAAACGAAGAACATCAGACTGCTTCTTCTTGTAAAGTTCTTCAAGATACTTGTACGCTTTTTTTTTTAAAAAAAAAAAACAAAATTATGGATCTTGTATTAATACATATCTACAAAAGAACTCTCCGTTGAAAAATGATCTGGTATTTAATACGTACCACCCATATTTTAGTCCTTTCTTTTGGACTAATTATTTGATGATGAGCGTGTATTCCAAATAACATAAAAAAATCATTAATTGAAATTATTTAATTAATTTGTTTACTAATCCTTTCATTTAAATGAAACTTTTAGCCATCCAATCGTAAATATTTGACCAAATATAAGATAAACTACCTTTCAATACCAAGATGAAGCAATGATGGAAAGGAAGATCATTCATTTTTCGTTTTTTAGTTTAATTTATAGTCTTTTTGATTTTTGATAAATCGTGTAACGATCTTCATGTGATTTACGAAAAAAAAAAGCCGTGTTTGGTCTATACATGTGACCGAAACTTTAACGGTTTTGACGAAACCGAAAGTCCGAAACCCTGAGTCGAAACTTATGACGAATCCGAAACCCTTGCCGATATTCCAAATTTAGCCGAAACTTATTTTTTAAAAAAATTGAAACCCGAAAGTGAATATTTTTTAAGTAGTCGTGTGTTAAACTTTATCCCTGAAAAAAATATGGTTATTTAAGCACACATACGGTACAATAAGTGTTCTAGTTGTTTTGAAAAATACACAGCCTAATAATTCCAAAGTTTATTTCACTATATGCTAATAAAATAATCAGGGAAACAAAATATATTTCACAAAACATTAAATTTTCCTTGGCACATTATCTTGCCCATTAATGAAGTGAATGTGTTACTTTAGAATCAGAAACTATTGATATAAAAAAGTATATAAAATTATTTTAAAAACATTTTCGGCAAACGTTTGTTGAACAGTATTCAATTGCATTATATATACTTGCCCACCGAACATTGCTTAAGAAATACGTAAATATTACATTAGAAAAAATTTCATTAAAAAAATAAATTAATCGTGGTTTAAGATCTTAATTTTTCAGAGTTAGTTTGATACAACAAAAACAAATATCTGCTTACTGGTTTTAACTTGAAAGCAAATTTAAAAATCCTCATCGTCATCAATTTCCAATGACATATTTCTAGCTAATGTTTCAACATCAAAAATTATTGCATTGTGAATCTAATATGACAGTTTGTCTTTTTGAACTTACTGTTATTTCATTTGCTTATCACTCTAGATTGGATATTTGCAACCCAATATCTATATTCTTCATGATATCTAAAGTATGTATATGCCTGGGATGTATCTATTTCTGTACTAATATTATCATTATTTTTTTTATAATTTGGCTGTTCTGCTACTTTTTATTTGAGATTAAACTAAACTAAGAAATTTACATTCCTAATAATAGCTATACTAATCTATCTGCAAAGCAGTTTACCCATGCTTTCACCAGATATAACCAGCAGTAGGAAACAATATATATATATTGTTTTCTATTTACATTAGACTGTTCTTTACTTATGACGACATGATCAATTTTTTGTTGTCACTCTAACACATATGAATGACAATGTGATCAATTTTTTGTTGCCATTCTAACACATATGAATAACGACATGATTAATTTTTGTCATCACTTTAACACATATGAATAATAACATAATCAATTTTTATCGTCACTCAAATGATGACGCTATCAAATTTTTATTGTTATTCAAATGACAATGCAATCAAGTACAAACACCTACGGAGTGTCACATCAAAACTATATATGGGGGGGAGTCAGTAGAAATGGGACAAATTTTTTCTAAGTAAAAGTTTTCTTAACTTTAAATTTAAATATC